CATGACTTATGTTGCTTAATTTAGAAAAGCAGGCATTACATAATAGGACATATCAGCTATTGGTAAACTGGCAGATATAGAAAACATCATCCAAATTGCCATGGAAAACCGAGAGAAGAAAGGCCTTGTTCGTACCTCTGCTGAGCACCGCCTGTTTGTGTGGGAAGTAAGAGCTCCTTATGCTTGCAGCCAYCACTGGCCTCCTCCTAGCTTTTGTGTTAACGGAGTCTAATTATGCAGCTGGAGCTTCTTAAACCAGGGTGCAGAAGGTAACTCCGTGGTGCTCACATCCACCTCCTCAGGACTTCGCAGCGTGGTGTGCCATGCTCAAGCCAAATCTGTTGGTAGTTTTTATGACGGTTGCACGAGGGGATCGTTTTTATACAGCGCTTCACACAGTGCAACAACAGACTTTAGCCCACATGCAACACGCAGACCTCCCAAASCGGGCATCGTGGCTAAGAACCGTGTTACTGAAAATTACCCTCTGTTGCTCTGAAGCGCCTTAGTGTCCCAGCAAGGGACCAGCACTCTGTTCAGCTGCAGGTTTCCCACACGAATGAGGAGCTGGTGCCCACCAGAGGAAACTGCAGCCTCAGTATTTGAGACGAGACAGTGACTGGACACAGCAAAGAGCTGGGCAGAGTTCACACAGCACACCTGGAGTGGGATGGAGCAAGCCATGCTCCATTCCTGGGCTTGTTCTCCCAGAGAAAACGTTGCTGGGAGAAAGAATCTAAGTTTGTTGATGTGCGCAGGCTCATTCTGTGGAGAAAAGTGGAGAAAAACTGCCCGGTGTTTTATTGTGCAGTTGGATGCACAATAAATCTGTTTTGTTCTGGTTGAAATAGAAAGGAATGCGCTGGCCAAGAGCGAAATGTTTGACTGAAAAGGAATTGCCCTGGAGATGCAGGGGGTTAAAAAAGAAAGAAAAGAAAAAGAAAAAAACTGAAAAATCTGCTGTAAGGACTTGTGTTTCTCCTGTTCATGACCTCACATAACTTTTTTTTTTTTTTTTTTTTTTTTTTGGTACTGCACAGTTCCTTTGCTTTTAAATAGAATTCACTAGTGGAAATTATGAATAATTACTAAACTTTAAAACTAAACTCTCCTCGAAACTCAGAACAAAACACCTGCCAATACTCTAACTAGCAGTAATATATATCTTGTTGCTCAAAAAAAGGCTCATTTTTTTTATTTGAAAACTTGTGCCCATTAGTGCAATTTGACTGCAGTCGCAGTACTGAAATGTCTTGAGTAGTAAAGTCATCCTTTCTTTTGTTTGATATCAAAAATATGTAATTTTGTATCTGACAATTAAATTGTTGAGTTCAATCTGGCACATTTTAAGCCCTAAATGAAGGTGGACTTAGGGTTAGGGCTAAGGACAKTTGTCAGCCCTTGAAGATGAAACCATTACAAGAACATTGTACTTCTCTCTGAAGCAAGTCTGACTAACCAAGAGAATTTTTTATTCATAAAGCAAAAATGTCAAAGCTCTTCTAATTGATTTTAATCAGCGAGCAAATACAACAAAACCGTATTTTGGGTAATTAAATTCTCATAGCTCCCAAAGGAAATAAATGAATTGAAAGGAAATTTAATACAAAACAGACTAGAGCTATCCCCAAATTTATCTTTCAGATCATTAAAAAYTGAGTCTCCAAATAAGGTGTTTAGATGTCTTATCTATTCCTCATCAACCAGTGTAGGACAACAAGGAGAAAGAGCAAATTCTAATAATAGTAAAATATAATTGCATGAAATGTAGCTTCTTTAAAAATAAGGAGAGCGTAAAGCTGCTCTGCTTTAACAAGGATGTAGCCTGTAGTTTCGCAGCCAAAGGTTTGACAGGGTCCAGAAGCCAGTGAATTAAAAGCACACACAGACTGAACTGAGCTAAAAAGTAGGATGAGCTGCTAAAACAGAAAGGCAGCTTTGCATTGGTGAGTTCTCGGCGGGCACTTTTCAGTCTCCAGATAGAAAATAAAGTCACTTTGGATGAAGCCTCTGTGGGTACAAGTGGGACCTCAGGAGGAGAGCGAGCTGTGGGAGCAGGCGATGCCTCCGTGCAAGTCAGGCAAATATAACCTAGTAAACCTAACAAATAAAGGAGGCAAGAAACATACAAACGGCACATGGAAAAAGAACTTTTTTCATTTGTTGGAGGTCCTACAAATTCAATTGAAAAAAGGCGGGGGGAGGCTATAAGCCCTCATCCATTTAATAAATACTTTGATCACAAGGAAAACAGAATTAGATCCAGAGACGATTTTTAAAATTAATTATTTCAGGGAAACTTACAGAATCTAAGGGGTTATTTTTAAATGTTTGGAATCAAAGGTATATTCYTCCATGTCACAAAGAGCTGCTCTCTTGGCAGTTTGTTTTATCCAAAGCAGGAACTCATATTATACAATCCATTCCCTCACCCAGTTATTCCATTTACCCAGTGAGACATTAACATTAAAACTTCCGTAGGAGATGTGCTGGAGAAAAGAGGAGTTGGATTTCCCACTGCATGACAGTGAAAAACAGTGAAATCAAAGTAAAGATATTCAAATTTGAAGCCCCCCAAATCACTTTCAAGTAATGCCACCAAAAAAACATGTAGATAATTATTTAAGCAGCACAGATTTTTTTTTTTTTTTTTTTTTTTTTTTAAGGCTACATGTGTGATAAACACTAATATAATGCGGTAATTTCTGGTGCTTTTTTAAAGGTTAAATTTATTTTCTGCATCTGAAATCTGCAAACTGATACAGAGCTCCTACTGAGAAATATAATTACGCCTCAGACAGCACTGTGAGACCAATTTCACATTGCACGATGCAAATACTGAGACAAAGAGTTTTAGGAAAGACGCGTTCAGACAGTAGCTGCCCTGTGGTCACCCTGATGTAAAGATCCGAGGTGCAAAGGTGCAAGGGGAATCCCCAACTCGCTGCTTCTGGGAGGGGAAAAGGAGACGAGCTTTCAGCCACACAACTACATCACTCTACTGAACGTATACTCACTACATCACTATATACTGATCATATTTTTCTGTGATTTTACTTACCTAGCTAATGATCTTCTATCATCCTTATCATCTGAGTTTTAGACATCTACCTAATTTTATCAGTGCCTGGTTAAATCATACATCTACTTCTGTAACTATGTATAACCTTGCAGTTCCAGGGTCATTTTAAATGTTAAAATGAATTGCTTCAGAATTGAACTTTGAATATTAGAGATGTCAGGGAGAAAAGTTTGGAATAAAGAACGAACCAGAAAAGTTCATTAAAAAACATTAAAAGTTGAATAAGAACAGAAGGTTTCAGGATAGCTCAAATTAAGCTGCTTTTTGTCTCCAGAGACGCAACTCTCTAGCCGAACAAAACATGAATAAGAAATATTTTTGTCCCAATCAGTAAGAGATATGTGCACCTGCTTCTTTAAAGGGCACTTGGATTTACACAGCTCATATTCTATATTAAAAGAAAGCCACTGTGCAAAATTGCAAACGTAATATAAGTTTAGAGTGTTAGGTGAACAACCCTCAAAAATATTTTGACATTTGCCTATATTATGGTACAGCCCTTTGCTTGTGTTTCCAGATGTATTCACCTTACAGTGGTGACAGAAATATTTTAAACCTATCTCATTAGCTGTTTAATTCATATTTTCCAATATTTTCATATTTTAAGCACAAGTCCACCTAGAATTTCTCTTCCTTCTCCAGCTCCACTCAACAAATGTTCTCAAGTGCAAGACCCCATGGAYATAGCATTAAAAAGAACTGCAAAATACAGAAACCTCTTTTTGTAGAGGTTTGGAACACTTCCTAGTCAAAGATTATATTACGAACGTGGACAGCTTTGAGCTGAAAGCTGAATGAATATATTCTTAATATATCACAGAATGAGAAAAACTCCGTAGCTCAATTTCCAAGCATGACCAGGAGTTGGAGGGCAGGTGATAACAGCCTGCTGAATAACACAGAAARAGGAGGACATCTGCCATGGGGACATGGGGGAAGGAGGCAGAAAACATGTATATCTGTGTGTATTTGTGTGTGTGTGTATATATATATATTTTTTTTTGATTTATTTTACAATAATTTTCATCTCTGGCTTCCCCTCAAGAATTTTTTTTCATGATGATTTTTCAGTTAATTTCCATTGTAGCTCATCTGGAGATCTCTCCTTTTGGAAGCCACGGAATTTAGGCTACTGACTGTTTCTTACTGCYGTTTGCCTGCGGGAAAGGAAGTAGGCCATTTATTAACTGCCAAAATAGAAAGCCAACTTGTCCTTTTCTCCACACACTGATACTTCAAAATCTGATTTCTTGTACAGAACAAGTTTCATGCACAGATCATGGTATGCTATTTATAAAACCTCCAAGTATTGTCTGTTACAGATGAAGAGCGAATTTTCCTTTTAGTCATACAGAAACAATCCATAAGTGGTATTAAAATTCAGGGAAGGCAGTACAGGGCACATGCTGCACGGTAGAGACAGGGCACAAACAGAGCTCGGGACTGAGAACTAGCACCTCTCAGCTTTGTCTGTTTGCCCCCATCTACTTGCAAGCAACCCAAGCAAGTTATTTTACTCTCTATTTCACAATCTCATAACAGCAAGAATAAGTTACCTGCTCCACAAGGGTGGGTGAACTAGGCTTTGTAAACTGCTCCGAACCTTCCTCTGGCAAAATTCAACATCCATTCAGGCCATTATTTAGCCTCTCCGCTCCAGTGGCTCTGCSTCAAACCCTTTTCTTCTTTACAAGGTATTAGTGCCAGACGGTTAATCCCTTTTGTTGTAGGTGCTTTCCCTTGCCTAGCTCTGATGCACTCAAACGTGGCCCTCAAGCATCCCCGCAGCTGAACGTGACCGCGCTGGAGGACTGACCGCGCTCCGCTGGGCTACTCGTTTCCTTTGATTGCTGTTATTCGCGGGGCTCTGTGYGGGCGTTTTGGTTTCGTGTTTTACATGTGACTCTTTGTTTTACAGATGAGGGCAGGAACGCAGTTGACCGTGCAGGTGGTGCACGTATTGTAGTAGACCACATAAGGTCACTGTGCAGTAAAACAGATCCAGCCAGTGAGAAGCTCTTGACTGTCTTTTGTGGCATGCTGATGAACTATAGCAATGAGAATGGTAAACACCACCGAAAACTTGCTTTATGTCTACGAGGAGAACCACCCCACCAGAAAAGCCAGTAAAAATTAAAGGCAACCGTAGGTCTATGCTATAGAAAATAAAAGAAGTTATTTTCAAAGGGCTGAATACCCCAATTCACATGTACAATTTTCTGTTTTGGCAAAATTATGTTCCCCAAATTTTAGCTACTCTTCTTATAGTAATTCCATATAACATATTGCATAAAGCTTTAAAATCAACATCTAGACTACTGTGTTTAAAAGAAATACATATAGACATATCATATGCCTTAAGAAAAACAGATTTATAGAGATCTTTACTAAAGAGGCTTCAGAAGTCTTCTCTTTTGCTTTAAGCATTAAACTAAATTAAATAGTATAACCTTCTTTGCCTCGGGCAAACAGTGCTGTTATGTTGATTATTTGGGGTGTATATATACTAAATAGCTTTTTCTTAAATCATTTTTGTGAAATGCATATAAAATTACATATTTTACTCTAAGATAAATGGGGATTAATTTGCTTATATGTCTAATACTCTATGTCTACAACCTATAAGTATGTTCTTTATCACATTAAACAGAGATGTTCAAGGGCTAAGATAAACAAGCAAGACAGTATCTTGAGKGAGAATTCACTGGCCTCTAAGGCCAAGAAAAATGTGTTCTGCAGTAGTTGCACAAATACGCTGGTATTTTTGTTAGAAGGTTTGATTCTACACGCAAGCATGGTAACATGCCAAGGCATATTTCACAGTGTTCACACGTTTCCAAGTCTTTGAAAATTTCAACCCTTAAGAAAATKAGAAGAAACGAGGAAAGCTAAATAAAGACAGTGCTCCTGCCTTGTAATGGCATGGATTTCAAATGCAGTTAGCTAATCACATTGTGTCTTCAGTCATGCCCAGTTCCTGAATTGCAGGGGTTTATCATGGGAAGAAATAGCTTCTTTATTAGCCATTCACTATTTCCTTGCCATTCTCAATTATCACTCTCTGTAACTCATTTTCCAAACTTATATCCAAACTGCTCTGCTTTTCAGGATGCCCTCRAGGCTTAATTTATTTTGGCCTTTGTCTGTATCAATTTTTAATCTACTTCATCACGTCTTCTGCTATGGTTTCCTTGTGCATTTTCTGTGCCATCTCTCCAGAGCACAGCTTTTGATTCTCCTTCTCCAGCTACAAGTATCACTGTCGTGTGATTCTCATCTCTCTCTCTCTCTCTCTCTCTCTCTCTCCTTCTTGGATTCTTTCCCCTCTGCTCTTTTCCTAGCATGACCCAAGAATGCTTCTTTACAGTATTTCTTCCTTATTCTCCAAATAGCAGCTTTTTAGTTCCTTCATTTCATACCTTTTACAGGGATTGTCTTGCCTGATGTCTGCATGAGTGTCATAATTAAATGTTGCAGTATTATTCTGTATTTTCAATTAAAAAAAAATGGAGCTGAGTAGATTTTTCCACCTCTAAACTGCCAGAGTCTCCTACGTTGATGAAGACTAATGACCATCCAGCATTTCTGGTAGCTCAAAACAGACCAGTGCAGAAGGGGAGCACTTTGATGTCTAGGGTAAAACCATAGTAAAACTCTATCAGTTTTACTTCAGTGACCAGGCTCCAGCAAAACCTTTCTCAGATAAATTAACTATGAAACAAACCTCCAAAATAAACAGTTTCCTTACAGCTTTGCTGTTATAAACATCAAATAAATGATTCATTCCACCTAATAAGAGAGCTTGCACTTTGGGTCAGGAACCACGAGTGCAACTGAAGCCCAGCTGGGCTCAAAAAATGTCACCCGTAGGCCAGAGTAATTTTTCAGAACAAGACTTCTGTCTATGTCAAACACCAGAAAAAAAAAATCTCTTGATTCCACATATTACACCAGTAAATAAACACCGAATAAACATAGTTCTCTCTCTGTTACAGCTGAAATCTTAGCTTGCCCTGACAGTTCATTGCACACACAGATTAGTGGACCTCATTTTAAACATTTATGCGCACACACACACACAAAAAAAAAAAGATTCCATTTGACTTACAGAGAAGACAAAAGCTCCATTGGCTCTGCTTAAAGATGAAGAGTATGGGATTGCATCTTAGACTCTCAGATTGTCTTGTCTGTAGTTATGGGGAAAAAATAGAGAAAAAAGATTATTGGAAATCAAAATAGGAAACACTTTGGTCTGTGAAGCAGYGCTTCTACCTCTTGGTTTATTGCTTCTGTAGTTCTTTCCTGCTTAGCATGTTATGKTATAAAATTACAGGTAGGGACTTTGCAGATTTTTTCACTGCTTTTAATCACTGACGCTCTTTCAAGCTGCACTGGTTATCCCGATAAGAACAAGTTCAGTCCATTCAGCTCTTAGCTACACTGATTTGTAGACATCTTAATATTTTCTAACTCTTAGCAATTTATGAACAGAGAGCATGTAAATTGTTTTCTTTGATTCTAAACAGCTTGCTAGTCTGCTAATTGCCCTCATTTTCAAACAGCTACTAACTATTTTAACTACCTTATTTTATAAACGTGACAGACTCATTCCTGAGTGCTTCAAGTTTTGAAATTAGCATAGTGGATCTACCGTACATGAATTTTACAAAGCTGGCAACAACTTTGTGAGCAGCTACAAGCCATATTTTGTCTTTTCCTAAATGCAGTAASTTAATCCAGCATCTTTGTCTCTCACGCTGGTTCTAGATGCTCAGCTTGCAATTGTAATGCCATTCGTAATGTTGCCAGAGTCTTAAAACTAAGACTCCTTTTCTAAAGTCCTCGTGCCATCTGCTYGTGTCCTGGGGTTACTCCTGTCTGCTGCCTCTCAGTCCTTCCTTCGCCTGCTTCCTACCTCTGTCCTTTCTTTAGCTGCCACAGCCTTAACAGAAATAACTCAGTTTGGGCATCTCTTGCCGTGCTTACAAAAGTGTCAAGAAAAAAAAATGTATTTTAATCAATTTTTAATTACCCAAAATAAGAGCTGTCTTTTGATGGGAGACAACCCTCTGGCCTCTGCTTTGAATATCTAGACCTTCTATAGCAGAAGCATAGTTACCATCTGAACTCCACGAGACAGAAATAGCTCATGCCTCCTTTACGTTATTAGTTCTTCAAATGTTCTTCAAATTAGTTCTTCAAGTTTCAGATATGGCTGGGAGTAAAACAAACCTGCTGCACATGCTCATGAAGGCTTTGCTCACCRCACTGCGTGAAAGTAGGAAACCTTGACAAAAAAAATATAATAATAGTTCTGTCTTTGTCAAAGCTTGCAAACTTTGGCAGGGGCACAAAGCAGCTGCATTTCAAGCAGCTGTTTTGACACCTTTTAGTGGGGTCAGGGCACTTGATTTCTCCCCTCCTGAAGCTGCTTATCATTACATGTAATCACTGCAGAGCTGTGATTCTGCTTAAGAGCAGGATGCAAAGCAGGCTTGGAAAAAGGGTGAAAAACTAGCAACTAATAAAACTAATAACCATATACAAGCACTTAATAAGTCCTGGATAGCTATTTTGTGCAACTCAATCCCATGAGGTAAGACTATTTACAAGTTAAYGGGATCAGTCTATAAACTAGTTAATTACCTCTTGAGACTTACCCAGCAAACTGAAAAATCATTTTAAAAAGTGGATAAATGGCAAAAGCATTAGGCGAAAATAGCAGATTAGATAGCTGACTTGTATATAAAGAAATTACTGAATGGGATACGCATGTGCGAGAGTATATGAAAATAGAGAAGAATAATTCTGTTTCTAGATTACTTTCTCATCTCATGTTAAACTTCARTCTGTCAAAGTCATCTTTCATTCAGTGCCTTTGTATAATATTCTSATATTAAATCACACAACTACCAACCTTTTCCTAGTCTCACAAAGCTCTTTCAGTCTGGGACAGGAATGAATGCTGGGGACTGATTTGCATTGTTAACCATCTACACAAGTCATGTAAATGTACAGGAAATGACAGGGAGATTTACGGTACCATTAGCGTGGCCTAACAGCAAGCAATGTTTCAACAACGCTTCCTTCTACGACTGACCTCTGCTAATTTTCATGCTTGCCGTGGTTTTTGTTCCATTTACATCACAGCTAAAGATGTGTAGCATGCTTTCAGACCTAAACTACTTAAATGCAAAGTAACCTAAGGCATGTAAAAAACGTAGGTAAAACRTTTGAGTTTTATGATAGGGGGATAGCCAATAGAGGCGCTTATCTGTTATATAGCGTTAACTTGGCCATGGCAATTTTACGTAGGTTTTTCTGGGGTACAAAATGAATTTATGCCACCAATCTGTACAAGACATTTTTCTTTAATGACATGAACACTATTAGTGCTAAAACACTAAATTATTAGTTGCTTTCTCAAGTTCTAGCAAGAAAGGTGAACTAGCCTGAACTCGTATTTTCAACGCAAATGCCCCCAGTAAAGTTCTCAATTTGGGATATTCTCCCCAGATCTTACTCTTTGGASTTTCCATGTGTGTCACCGAAGGACATGGAGCCATTGAAATGCAAGTTTTAGGTAGGTAACTGTTTGTGCTGGCGCATGTATTGATTGCCTTTTATCTACCTGTGTATGCATCTGTGCAGCATCCCGGTGCTTCCCCTCGCCCGCCCCGCAGAGCAGATACTAGCGCAATATCYGACAGCGGCGGAACACTTGGGAGAGTTTTGCTGGCGGTTTAAACCAGAGTTTTGCCTCCAGTTGGTCTCCTGCTCTAGCTGAGCCCTAACCCTTGATGCCTTGGAGAACTGACTTATTCCAACGTGCTCCAAGGTCACCGGTCTGTGGTCTTTAAGGGGAGAGCCCGAGACCTGCTCGGAAGGCCCAACCACTTCTCTGCTTTTAATTTCTCTGTAGTTAATAAGCGCTGCAGGGCTCCTGCCCTGTGAGAAACCTAGTGCTCGTCTCATCAATTGATCATTTACCTCAGAGCATCCCCTAGGGGCACATTTTGGACAAGAGAATCTTGTTTTTGAGGGATTCTGTGAGATACAAGCGAAACCCAAGCACTGGTTATTCCCCTTCAGTTTCATTTTCTTTAGCAATAGCAGACAAAAAGAATTCCCTCCCACCCCCCCCAAAAAAGGCAAGTTTCACAGGTTTAATCGTAAGAGAATTAACTTCTGCATTTGCTAAATGAAACAGTCTTACTTGTGGCAATGACCAACACAAATGACAAGTTCAGAATTTGTACGGCAAGCCCAGGCTCAACCGTAAATACAGCAAATAGCTGCTGGCAGGCTCTCGTTTTTGAAGGCCTTACCTCCCGTTCAGCCTTGACTTATAGGGTGGTCCTAGCCTTGGCAAAATTTACCCTTCTGCCTACTGCAATCAAGGCATCAACACAGTGCCCACTTTTTACCTTGTTGGCAGTTCTTGTAAGTCTGTTCCTATAGGATGGCCCTTACACTACAGCTTCTGCCTACAGAAATGAGGCTGGTATGGAGTCAGACACAATACCTGACTTTTGATCCGAAAAGCAGTTGTTCTTTCTTGGTACATTTTCTTATTCTTTCAGTTATGAGCATCATGCTCTCCTGAGCAATATTATCCTGCCACTTGGCTCTTAAGATACCCACTCCCTTCCACAGGTAGATATGGGTTGCCCACTTCCACTTATCTTTTCCTTTAGATTTTAATTACTGTATTAAGACAAAAAATAAAAAGACACTTTGCTCAAAATAAGGAGTTTGCTCCTGGTGTCAGAATGCTTTGCCAAACGGAGCCCATAGAGATTGCCTCTTTGTCCATACAATTGGATAAAATGAGCTTAGAGTGACTAAAGCCATCACGTAGTAACAAAGCACTTTCTTGCAACATAATTTTCTATGGCATTTGGGGTTTGTTCCTGTACTCTCCAGGACAACCATTTTTTTTTCTTCAGAATTTTTAAGTGTCCGCAGGGGACGATCACAAATCAAGGAGAAAAACAGATTATTTACCAGTAACTTGAGTTCTCCTACACAGTCGTTTTCTCCACAGAACCATTCCATCTTCCTCGCCCCCAATTTGTCTAACAAAGCTTAGATTTTTACAGCCAGTTTGGAAAGAAGTAGGAGGGTATAGTAGTGACTCACACATCTGCCAGAGGTAAAATGGCATTCAATGCATGCGCTAGTGCAATTTGTGCTTACCTAAAATTTGACAACTTCAACAGCTCTTGACGTCTAAGATGGTGTTCTCAAAAATGTCTCTAAAGACCATGAATCTGTGGAAGAGAACCCCCCATACCCTCCCCCAAAAAGGAAATTCAGTTACTGGTAAGTAATACAGTTTTATCTAAGATGTCACGTCTTAAGGATTCCTGTTCATCTTCAATAATCTGGAATAAACATACCATTTATATATTTAGTGTACAAAAATTAGTATTATAAAAATATTTTATATTCAATAGAAAAACTTCACTATTCCAGAATCTTTTCTTAATTCTAAGTTATATGGAAATTTCAAACCCACCTGGCAGAATGTCTTGAAAGGCCAGAGTTTTCCAGGACTGTGAGATGGGATTAAATTTGCGAGGCCTAAGACGTTATATGTTTATCTTCCTTTAAACATCTGCATTTCTTTATGGCCCTGATTCCACAGATGTAAAAACTCTGACTCATTTCAGTTGCTCAGAACAATTCCCTGCCAGGAGGAGAAAAAAAAAATCCCCCATAGAGCCTGAGCCAAATCTAAATGAAGTAATAAAAACACTTCTCTTGAATTTGCAGGGCTTTGAATCCTACTGTTTTAAGACTACCATATTTAAAAGTAGTTAAACTGCTTAGAAATAAAGGAAAGAAAATGCTTAGGGAAATTACTAAACAACATTTGATGTGTTTGTGTCTGCTTCATTCTCTTCAACTGTGAAAAAATGTTTTTCTTTGCTATGGTATAGGTAAAATCTGCAAGAGAAAATATGGTTATAAATAATCTTTTTTAAAAAATCATGTTTCTGCCTAACCATCAAAGCATCTTTCTATTTGCAGACATCTAGGAGCAATAACTTTCTTACTTGTAAATACTATAAACTTTCATTCTATGCAAGAAATTATCAGAATGGCTTCTAAGGACTTTTCCTAAACCTTCCATTTTTTGTCTTATTAAACTTTCTTTTTTCTCAAGCTCCTCATTATCTACATTGTGACTTCCTGTGTTTATAAAGCTCTTCATGTTTATTTCAGTGCCAGTTTATATTCATTCTACTTTTAATTTTCCAGTTGGGGTCTTTAAGGGAAAAATGTATTTAGAAACACACTCTCATATTAATAAGGTTTTCACTGATGCAGTGCTGTTGATTACAGTCAGTCTTGGTTAGCTTAGGATCAAACACATGCACTGTAGAAACCCAATAACCACAAAATTATCAGACACTCCTCTATGACCAGATTGGGAGGGAAAATTCTTATTACATATTTTAAGTATATACTATATATATATTCTTATTATATTCTGTGGCCAGATAAAGGGGGAATTATGAGTCCACATCCCAAGTTTAGAGCAGAGGAAGGGAGGCTGCAGACCTGTTAGTGCTGCTTAGGCTTGAAGCTGCTTTGTGTGTAAAATGCTCCTGTGTTTTTGCAAACAGCAGTCCTAACTCCCTGTGCTTTCTCTTTATGCAGATACTCTGCAGTCTCAGCTTATCAATATGGGGGTTATCCCTACGCTAGTGAAACTGTTGGGTATTCACTGCCAAAACGCAGCTCTGACTGAGATGTGCCTTGTTGCTTTCGGCAACTTAGCAGAACTCGGTAAGTCCATGATATTAAACTCAGATTTACACCCAGGCTTTTTCCCTTCCCCCCTTTCCATTCTGTACTTTCAACACYTAGAGTGAGCAATTTGTTCATTGTCCTTAAAAATCTGTAGTTGCCTCTTTCTTTTTCTTCGCTAACTCTGGTTTATTTGGGTACTTCGTACATGTTTTATGTTAATGTTCTTCAGCACAACTAAGTGCATTTTAAATTATCTAAACAGCTTTTCCTGAGCTCTGATACTGGCTCTGAATTATTTATTAATATAAATAATGTATCCCAGTGCTTCTCCACAAAATTGCATCAGGACCAAATTTGGCTCACAGAAATCACTGAATGAAAGGGAGCGGCAGAGCTCCCRAATTAGCTCTCACAATATTGTTTTTGGTGTGCAGTTTACATAGCTAACATGCTTTACATGAAGGACTTGCTTGTATAAAGCATGAATACTAAGCTGCTGATATATTTTCAACAAGTGCAGCTCCAACTTGAGTCCTTGGAAATGCACTAGTTTTCCCTGGAATTCCTCAAAGTGTAAASCTGTAGGTTGTTGGCACCTGTGTTATTACTCACCTTTTACACTGGTGCAAACCCATTCTGCAGAATTTTGGCTGTAGGATTTTTTTTCTTCTTTCTTTTGCTTCAGAGTAACCACACGGCAGTTTCAGTGATTGCCCTGCATTTCTGAGACCGTTCAGCAGTTCAGAACAGGCGGCCCCCAAATCATTTCACAACTGTCACGAGGGTCACAGACTGGGGAGACTACAATGTTCTCATCTAGTCTGATCCTGCGTGAACAACCTTCCTTCTTCCCTTATTTCAGTTCCTTGATCCTCTTCAGCCTAGTCTATGCAATGAAACAATAGAAATGGCCATTGTAACAGCACTAAAGAAATTAATCTAGGGCAGAGCTTCAGGATGGGCACTACAGTGTCTGCACAGCAAAACTGTAACACGATTCATGGATGAGGAAACCCTAGTGCCACCAGAAGACAATGAAAACCACAAGGGTATTAAACACAATCAGCAYTGACAACTACATTTCCTTTCCCTTTTTGGGAGGATCCAGCTCTGTCCAACAAATAATAAGAACTGTGGAAAAGCAACTTAGCAGCAGCAGCTMCTTCCTTGCCTGTTCCTATACGTTGAGAAGATTCCTGTTCTTTAACATTGGCACAAAATTATTTTAACTTGCAATACTTTTAATCTTCCTTAGGCAATAGATTCGTCAGTCATATTGTAACTTTAGTACAGCAATACTTTTAGCCTTGTAACTTCAGGGGATTTTATTGTCAGGCTGTCATCTTTCGTCACCTAGAAGAGACAAYCGTGTTCCCTGGATCCCTCGAGAAGCAGAATATGAAACTCTCATTCTATGTCAAAGCAGAGCAAAATCTCAATTGAGTGAGTGATGGCAGGGCTTCTAAAAACACTGGAAACGTCAAAAAAAAAAAAAAAATCACACTTGGACTCTGCCACATAGTCCTGCCTATCCAGAAAAAAACAGCCGAGGGAAGGACAACAAACTGCCTAGGCGACCTGTTGAGSCTTTTCCCTGCTCCTTGCTCGGGTCCACATTAAAATGATCCCTGACCGCCCATGGGAGCGGCAGCAGAGCTGCCCAAAGGGCTTCTGATCAGGTAAAGGCTGCCAAGCACCAGCCCTCCCGCCTGCCCCCCTGCAGCGTGTGCTGCACCGGCCCTCCCGCCTGCCCC